AACTTCGGAATCTCTTGCAATTCTTCTGCACCATCTCCTTGTTTAAGTTGGTGAATACTTTCATAATCCTTGCCTTCAGTTCATCATTGGTGTTATGATGTGTTTTTGTTGGTCTCTCGCTTAACTGCGCTACCACACATAATAATCAGGGAGGGGTTGCAGTCTGGGAAGTTAGGTGGCCAGATGTAAGGGGTGATGTGCTCGCAGAAATTGCCTGACAGCTATGACTGGGTTCTCCTGCTTGTGTGGCATGGTGCAGAGTCCTGTTGCCAGATAAAGGGTCTTCCAGCAGGCCACCATCTTGCTCCAGAGAATCACTACCTCCCTGGCTATGGACCTGATTGACTTGGAGGGATCATTTTCAATCATGGCATGGATCTCATCAACAAATTCAGGATTTCTTTTCTCATCTGAACGATCAAAGTGAGTTTTCTTAGCTGCCGTACCTTCGTAATCACCATTAGACTCATCAAACTCTTTCAAAATCTTCTGCATTGTCCTCAGATTGATACCCAAACGCTGAAATATTCGTATTAGAGCTTCCGGCGCGAATACCAAGCAGTACAGCATGCCATTTCCAAATTTCTTGGGGAGTGAATTGGGTCATGATGCCGTTTTTCACACAGACTGTACCAAACTGAGCCTACTATACTGTTCAGTCCACAAAATCAAAAACAAACAACGCGTGTGCACGAAATTAAAAATATAAAATTATGACAATTAGCCCATCGCACTCTGTGTATAAACGATTGATAAGCAAATTCTTGGTAGGTTTGAGGGACTCTCTACTATTTTATTCTACTGGTGTAAGATGGAAACGCACAAACAAAATTTAGCCTTATACGAATTTATAAAATATTAAATTAATTCTTTTTTTATTTGATACAGGAAACTGTATTCCCGAATGAAAATTACTCTGCTAATGGTGAATTGATTGCTTCCATAGTTTTCATGGTTCTGCCCCGTTGAAAGCATTTAAGTAAGACGAGGCTTACGTACGATCACCGAAGTTAAGCAACGTCGAACCTGGTCAGCCTGCAGATAGGTTACGTCTTCGTAATACCAGCTGCTGTAAGTTTCGATGTGTGATTGATGTAATGGATAACGGCTCGGAATTGTAAATTAAAGATCCGAGTTCCAATTCTAGTTAGATTTTTTATATTCACTTACGCGAATATACATTTGGGAATGGTATAAACACACTAATTCTCCAGCTCCCAACTCTGGATTAATTAGTAGCATTTGTATCCGTTTAATCCTTACTATCTAAAATATTTTCTGACTTTAAATAACCTGCAAAAGGTTTTTAAGCTGTAAAACGTTAAAAAAAACAATCATTCAATAATTCAGTGTGGTGAATATATATATATTTTTTTTTAGTTAATTAACCCCCCAACCAAGCAAGCCGATGAGTCCACGACGATGCATGGCGTTACTGGAAGTGCAAAACAGAAAAGACTTTAGAAGGAACCGTAAACTCAATAATAAACAGGAAACAAAAGATAAACCTCTTCTCCTGTTCAAAAAAGCGGGAAAGAGTGTGAATCGAACCTATCTACTCTTAGTGAGGAAAAAATAAATAAATAGTAAATAGAGTTCAGGTGGAAATGTTTGAGGGACAGAATTGAAATGGAATTAAGAATGAACTGGAAACCCAGTCCTAAACACTAATCAAGGAATAAATATCTAATAACCTTTACTAAATACAGTAAAAAAGAGAGGTTTGAAACAGATACTTCACTTGTGTTTATTTAACTGGGTGTATTATTATCCAAAACAGGTCATTTTGAAATCTCTCTTCACTGTTGTTCTTGAAAATGGAATGTAATAAGTTCATAACTGATAAAAGCGACAATATTCCACCGGTTTTACGAAAAGACCTTACAAGGTGTGGGACTTTTATTAAATTCTTTATACAGTTCTTCTAGAATACAGAATTCTTTCAACAGGATTAAAGAATTATTTTCAAAGTGGGCTGTTATCATTTCGTTAATGATAATTATTGTTTTGACAAATAAATTTAATTTTTGAGTGTATGTGTTATTTTTTTATTTACTCTCCAAAAATGTAATATTTCTTTATAAAAACAACTAAAATCCATTTTAGTGTTTTCATTTTATTTATTTATTTTACTTTTAATATTTTTTCGCGTAGTGTAAGAATTGTAATTAATCTAAGAGAAGGGCACATTCCAAACTGTAGACAAGGCAACGGGAAACCAGTCCACACTCTCTCTTAAGAACACATAAAAATTTCCAGATAATAAAGAAAAAAAAGCTATTGTGGTGTATTATGTTCTCCGAAAGGACAGGGCATTAAACAAAAGAAATAAAGAAACCTTTTGCGTTCACATAACTTCTGAAGGTGTTTATACACATTCATTTCAATACACATTTCAATGTATTCATTACATACATATGTGTGAATGATATTATCTTCAATTACCTTCTCCAGATGATCATTTCGTTTTATTTCCTTCTCAGTGTTTTCATTCCTTTCTTCTTTCTATCGTTGTGTTTTTCTACTAACGTTCTCTTTATAATATTTATTTTGTTTACCTACAAAGGCAAACAAAATACAAAGTCTTTTTATGTGGATAGTTACCAAAGGTACCCACTTTCTTTGGTCATTGCCACAGACATCATGATGTTCTTCTAACCCCAAGTCCTTTCAGTGCAATGACGAATTGTATTTACTTTGCATACGGCCAGATGTAAAAGACAGCACAAGGTGTTATTCATTCCATCCGTGTCCGTAGGGTGGTGGGGTCTGTGGAACTGGTATCGGTCCCCAGAGTAAAATTGATATTCTGATTTTTCTGTCTGCGAAGGCGCCAGGAATTTATTAGAATGAAATCTGGGTAAAAAGGCAGAATAACACCCCCCTATACCCCCGTGAGCATATAAAATAAATCAGTGCCGTCTAGAAGAATAGACAATTTCAAATATTAAAAACATTTAGGAAATAAATAAAAAAAAAACTTCAACGACTTTTTTCACAATACTAATATCTGCAGAATATTTCATTAAAAAGTCATTTCACCTTAGGCAAGGCAATAAAGCCACTAAAACGCAAGAGGTTACTGAGTGTGAAAGGATACGAGGAAAAAAAAAAAGAAAAAATTATTAAGGAGAGAAAACAATAAAAGAACAGGAATTAAGAAGACAGATGATAATGATTGACATTGCATTTAAATTTTTGAAGATAGAATTTAACTTGAAATCAAGAGGCTGGAAGAGAGTTACGGTTACATGTAACAATTCTAACAGTACAGTGCTGAGACCGACCTGCCAATCTAGTACTGTGCTTAAATTCGTAGTCGGGTTACCAAAATGGGAAGCTCATCAGAACAATTACCATGAATATATTTATGGTAAGCTAAAGGAAACGGCAGTGGGAAAGTGAGGTGTCAGTTCAGGGCCGATAATACTGCATATTCTTCTTGAATTTTATCAGGAATATCTAAATATATAGCAGAAGAACCAGATCAGATGTGGCGGCAATATTCGATACGCAAACGAATGGTAAGATAGATTCTGGCGAGAAAAATTGTCTAACACGACATAGTAAAACGACTTTTCTAGCAGCAGATCTAGCAATTAATTCAATATAATTAAAACATTCAAGATTAAAAATCATTATTCTAGTTTTATTTTCTGGTCCACGGTATCCAGAGCAGTAGATCTCTCACAAGTTTCTGTCTTATTTACTAACAGTGTCCTGTAAATAGCATTTGTAAGATTGTAGAAATATCATAGATGGGTCCATAGAGCTGTGATTACGTTGGATAAGGTCTCCAAACGATGGTAATATGGCGCTCAGTACCCGAGTGTTGGTAGACTCAGGGTTTTAGTTAATGTCAGGCACTGGCACCATACATTAAAACCGACTCTACAATGTCCCGGAAGAAGCTCCGTTTGAAGTTGTCTGGTAGATCAGATTTCCAGATTCTAGTAGATCAGATTTCCAGATTACATCCATTTTATTCAAGGCGGCCAAGGGTTTAGATATGCGAATTTTCACATCCTTTTCAATCGAATTTGTAGGTATGTAAAAGATTCGACAGGTTTTATTGATTCAACTGAGAATGTTCGTATTAAGCATTGCTGGTTGAAGCTTATGAAAACATTTTTAGAGGCATTGACATAGATTCCAATATCGTTAAATTTTCAATCGATTTGATTTCAATGGAGGTATATCTTTAAAAATTTATTTATTAATTATTCAAATTATTTTTATAGATTCCAAAGCATTAAACAGCGGATAAGACTGATTTTAAATTTACGTAAACTTTTTTTCTTTTTTAAATTCTACTTTTCATCAATAAATTAAACTATAAATGAATATGTATCCAAAAAATGCGCTTACAAGGGAGGGGGCGTTATTCGGTATTTTTACAGAAATCTTCTAAGCGTTTTTAATTTCACACAAGACTATATTATTTTGCTACTTACTGAGAATCAAATTTGCTGGCAATAGTCTGAAAATCTTGCGTGTTAAACGTTGCTCTACGACAAGAGCCCTTTCTGAATTTTAAGAGCATTTTCGCCTTCTTTTTCATCTGATTTTATTTTATTTCCTCCTTCAACATTGTTTCTTTCACTTATTTTCACTTTATTAATACTTTCCTATTGTTGCTACCAATCTCACAATTCCTTCGCCTCTCGTTCTTCAACCCCCTATTTTGTACTCTTAGAGCGCCAAATGCCTGGCTTTATTAGCCAAAACAACGCCCACGCAAAACACATTAATTCCTTTCCGTTCAAGTCTAGATGACATCCTTTCGTACTTAGCCTACGCGAAACAAGTCTTTTAGACTCATTCATTTCTCTTGTCTTCATCTTACTCGATCTGTTTTCTTCCTCTCACTCCCTTCTTCCACCCAACCCATACACCAATTCCATTCTTTCAGCAAGCTCCCCCCACCCCGAGTCTGCCGACCGATTTATTCATCTACCTTGATTCCAGGTTTGTTGTTTGGTATTTTGTTTTAAACGTTATTATCCCCTTATATGGAGAAGCGTACACAGATACACATGGAGGAAAGATAGATGATGTCTCGGAGAAAGTGAGAAAAGGTGCGAGATACATACCGAAGAGAGAGTGGATTTGTATGTGTGAGGTGTATGTGTGAGAGAGAGAGAGAAAGAGAGAGAGAAAGAGAGAGAGAAAGAGAGAGGGGATTGTATGTGCGAGAGAGAGAAAATCTGAGAGATACATATTGAAGTGTGAGAGAGAGAGATGATATATATATATATATATATATATATATATATATATATATATATATATACGAGAAAGTGTGTGAAAAGGAGCAAGATACATACTTTAAGAGAGAGAGAGAGAGAGAGAGAGAGAGAGAGAGAGAGAGAGAGAGGAATTGTTAGCGTGTGTGTGAAATGTATATATGAGAGAGAAAATATGTTAGAGAGAGAGAGAGGGAGGGAATATATGAGCGTGAGGGGGAGAGAAAATATGTGAGATACATATTGAAGAGAGAGACGTTGAGAAAGTGTGAAAAGGTGTGAGAGACATACTTAAGAGACAGAGAATGCGTATGTGTGTATGTGTGTGAGCTGTGTGTGAGAGAGAAAAGATGTGAAATACATATTGAAGAGAGATAGATAGAGAGAGAGGGGTGGCTTGTATGTACCTGAGAGAGAGAAAAAGTGTGTGAGATACATATTGAAGAGAGAGAGAGGGCATGTTTGTGCGGGAGAGAAAAAAGGTGTGAAATACATATTGAAGCTAGAGAGAGAGAGACAGACAGACAGACAGACACAGAGAGAGAGACAGACACAGAGAGAGAGACAAACAGAGAGAGAGAGAGACAGACAGACAAACACAGAGAAAGAGAGAGAGAGAGAGATAGATAGACAGAGAGAGAGAGAGAGAGAATGTATGTGCGTGAGAGATATAGAAAAAAGTATGAGAGAGAGGGAGATAGCGGATATGTGTTTATGTGGGTGCGTAGTATGTGTGAGGGAGAAAAGATGTGACATACATAGTGAAAAGTGAACGGAATGGGCTGTATGTACCTGAGCGAGACAAAAAGTGGGTAATACATATTGAAGAGAGTGTATGTATGTGTGTGCGAGAGAGGGAGTATGTGTGTGTGTGAGAAAGAAAGAGGTGTATGAGATTCATATTTTAGAAAGAGAGTGAATGTGGATGTGTCAAAAAATGTGTGTGTGTGTGTGTGTGTATGTAAGAGAGAAATGATGTGAGATATATCTTAAAGAGAGAGAGAGAATGTACGTGTAATGTGTAAGAAGGAAGGTGAGTGTGTGTGTGTAGTGAGAGAGAAAATGTGAGATTCATATTGAGAGAGGAGTCACGTGGGAGAGAAGTATGTGGATGAGTGTGTGAGAAAGAGAAAAAGAGAAACGTTATATGTATAAGAGTGTGTGTAAGAGAGAAGCGTGTGTTAAATATATACTGAAGAGAAAGAGAGGATGTATATGTGTGTATATGTATATGTATATGTCACCCATCTAAATACTGACCAGTCTCGATGATGCTTAACTTTGGAGATGGTACGAGAAATGTTGTTTCAACGTGATATGGCCGTAAACCCGTGTCCTTGTGTTTGTGTGTGTGTGTGTGTGAAAGAGACAAGTTAGTGAATCAAACTACTGATGAGCTGAGTGAATTCAATCGCTCAAAATCTTACAGCAATCGAATACCTGAAATTATTCAGTTGAAACTGTGTCCCCCTCTTGCTACCATGGAGAGTCTTCATCCGATTAAACATTCTTAAACTTTACTGTGGCTGCTGGTCTACTTAGGCATAAAATTTAGTCATGAAAAAGTGGTTTACTCGAGTGTTCATTTCCCACCCAAATATCGTGACATGCCAGTAACAAAAGTTATTTTTCTGAAAATGGGCAGGGAGAAGTGGGATCATGCCTTTAACGAGGATATTAGTGCAAAATGTACACAAACAAGTACAGCCATAATTCGAACTTGGTTTGAAAATTCCGTTTCTATATCAATATCCTAAACTACATCCGTCAGCAAGGCCGTTGATCAGAAGGATTTGAGTGACGTGGAATGACCTCTTAATTGTTGCTGTTTCCAGATCCACCCTAACCCAGGGTGACAGCACCTGTTAGGGTCCTAGCTATGGGCAACTAGTGAAAGTATTAAAAAACATGCTTAGACTAAAAATACCAACAATACATTTTATAATAAAATAACCGACAATACATTTCATCTGTAGTTGAAGCCATAAAATTTTGTTCAAAATATTTAGATTTTGGAATTAAATAACACATAGAGGTGTTGATATACAGTTAAATAAATCAAGCAACCAAACAACCAACACGAATGAACTCTTTCATGACATTAATCCATATAATATCCTATAATTTCAAATCAAATCAAATTGTATTCCAAAATATAACTTCAACAAAACTACAAAACAAACATATCACCGCCTCTATTAATTAACACAAACATGTATATCTGTCTGTCTCTGAGATGAGGTATTATAATTACTTACATTATTTACATTATTCGGATTGCTATCCTCATCTTCATTGCGATATTCACAATGTTTCTGGCCTACTTCAGGTGATTGGAATTTTGAACCGAACCCTCAAGAACACAATGAATAAAGGCGTTTGTTAGATCCAGTGACTAGACCCAAAATGTTGTGAGTTCAATGCCAGGCTACAGCAGTGGTGAACCAAAACTTGGGGAGTTGCGTTAAAGAGAAATAACTGAGATATCAGGAAGAGGCACGACACGTGGAACTAGAATAATCTACGCCGGTGGACGAAATAAAGGGTCCGGTTCGAAATTCAAATTACCGGAAGTAGCGCTAGAGCGTACAGCAGCTGAAACGTTGTGAATATGGCAATGAAAACGAGGATAACTGTTCGAATAATGTAAATAATATAAACAAACATGTATATGCACAAAAGTTGAGTATCATTTACCATGTATTCAATTGTGAAAGCAGAATAACATATATTATATTTTTATTACTTTAAATCTCCAAAGAAAATTAGATTTCTACAGGTGTTGATATGCCATTAAACAGGCAAAATCAAATCAAATTCAATCAAATATCGACATCTATCATGTCATATGCACTGTTGACATTTAATGATATACGTATGCATTTTTGTCTGAATTATTCGGGTGAGGATTTATCATTTTTTACAGTCGGAATAATGTCCTCATCTTTGTTGTTATTATTACAATGTTTCAACCATTGTGCAGTCTGGCTTTCTTCCGACTCCGTGGGAATACGGCAAGCAATAACTGAGCATTCTTATAATGATAACACGGTGATATATCCCTCTACATAAACAACGGAAAGAGAACACTCTAGATTAAATAATAAACGGTTCTGTTTGAAATTCCATCGTTACTCATATCGATAGACACTTGGAGAAGTCCGGAGGGCTCAACTACCGAGACTTTAGGATAATAATAAACACAAATGGGGAAAATAACAAGTTTGGTTTACTTAATTTTGTTTAGCAGCATATCAACATTTATAGGTTACTAGCAGCATGGCCCGGTGTTGCCCGTGCTTGATTCAAAAATCGTACGACTCATACAGCAATCACTATCACTTGACTTAAAATATTTTTGCCCTTCCTTGTCTTTAAAGGAGTACCCTTTTCCGTGCTGATGTTGCTACATGCCTTACTTCTTGCCTATCTCACACTGCAATTTTTTTCTAAGCTCTATACTAAACATTAAATCTGTTACGAAAAAAAAACTAAACAAAATGAACACAAAACGATCAGCTTTAAAAAAGGACTCGTAACTGGAAAAATCGAATGAAAAAAAGAATGTTAACAACAAATACTTTTTCACATCCAACCCAGTTCTGTGGAATCAGAATCAACGTTGAGTTTAAGCAAGCGAATGAGCCAATTGGAGTAAAGTGCCATGCAGATTTAAATTGTTCCCACTTGTGACGAATGCAGCTGTCGATATTTTTTGCATGCTAGCATGCTAGTTAACATTCGTGTCAGTCAGCTGTTGGCTCTCACTCTGGACAGTAGAAAATGGCCGCAAACTACATGAAAACTGCCGTAGAAGCATGAAAAAATCGATTATTTCCACTATCGATGGTAGTTGGGAAATGCAAACTTGGAGCATGTGCATGTAAATTTTGGTGCAAATCCGTCGAAAATTGCAGCCGTGCAGTCGTTACACACACACACACACACACACACACACACACACACACACACACACACACACACACACACACACACATCCTGCCTTTTATAGATAGAGATTTATGGGTTATTTATTTTATTTTAAGTGAATGAAACGTAAAAAAAAATCAAATACGCAAGTTGGATTTTTTCAGATTTCATTCATAGAACTGTTTATTTTGGGATTCAGTCATTCATGTTTCGGTGACAAAAGAAAAAAATGAAAACCGTAAAAAGTGTGTTGCTGTTTTGTGTGAAAAATGAATAGACCCTCCCCCCACAAAAAAAAAGCGTCAGTTATAAAAAAATATATATATATATCTTAGCGGGATAGAAGCAATATTCTTCAATGAATTGGTCTCATGGCGTCAGGACCGGTAAGGGAGAACTGAAGAAAAAAGGAGGGGAAAAAGATAAATAAATAAATAAAAGACATGTATGTTACACATATAGAGACAATACCTGTGTTCTTCCTATTCTCCTCTTCCACCTCTTTCTCCTTCTCCATTCATCCGTTGTTTTAAATCCCATCACCAAACGTCATCAACATCCGCCCTAATCCTCCTGCTATCTACTCCTCCTGCCTCTTTCTGCTTATTCGCTTACCAATTCCACAGCACTCCCACGCAAGGGAGACATGCACTTGTCCATGTCAAAACTAAATTCCGACACATTCTCAGCAGCACGACTACGATGCCTTTATCCTTTTTATTGTCATTTCCTTTTCTTTACAATAATATTTGCACCTCCCCCTCCTCTGTTTTCATTTTATGAGGGACACGCGCATGCCTTTTGGGGGGTTTTATTTTCGGTTTTTCTCCCTAACTCCTATCTTCTCTTTTCTTCCATCTCCCTTTCTTATATGATTATTTAACCCCCACCCCCGCCGCAATCTCTTAATTCTATCTTCCTGTCCACCTCACCCACCCTACATAAAACAGTCCATCTCTCCGTAACTTCCGTTCTTCCTCCCGATTTAATCGCTTTTCTCTCTCTTTCCTTTTCATTTTTTTATTCGAAAGAATGAATAGTTTCATTAATCATATATAGAAAAGTGTTTGGTTCACCTTAAATTCTTGAATTTTTGGATCTTGTGAAGATTAGCGAACCCACTCACGGCAGGGTTTGCTATTCTTTACAAGAAAATCACTGGGTGCGTTATTCTTTACATGAGAATAATCGGGTTCCTTGTTCTAGACATTAAAATTTTGGTACAAGTAACTTTCAGGTTCAATAACTGTTTTCATACACTGGTTTTAATTTATTAATCCAGATATCCAGGAACCCACAAGATGGATGATCCCTTGGGGAGGATTATCAGTGATCAACTGGATGAAGAAAAAATAACTTATTCGACGAGAATTAAAATGTGAATCATGTAATACATTTATGAATTGGTCAAAGCGCAGTGTCTCTCTGGGCGGTTATGTGTGAAAGTGCCAAATGAAGTTCGCGGTAAATGTAGCAATAAGAAAAAGACTTATTTTCTGATAAATCAAAATGAAATACGGTTAACAGGTTCTTGGGATTCTGTAATGGAATCACCATAAAATATCGTTTTATTAACTATGTTATTTTAAATATTTTTTCATGGAAAATGAATAATATGTTATTTTAATTGTTCATTTGTAAATAAACGAGTACATTTATATTTCCAAGATTGCTAGAAAAATGCCTGGGGAGAAGGGGATAAAACTGTTTTGGACGTGGAAATGTAGGATTCGCTAATCTTGAGAAAATCCGAAAAGAGTTCACCTTAAATTCTTGTATTTTCTTATTATTGTGTGACGGATTTGAAAAAACCTCCGATTAATTTGTTTCCTACCAACAAAAATCTAACTTTGTGATGTTTGAGCGAAAACAAATGATTGAATTAATAATTCAACGAATGTGTTTAACTAAACACCAAGAAGAAAAACATTGTGGTTTCAATAAAGAGCAAATGATATAAAAATCCGACGGTGTGAAGAAATGGATAAAAACCTCTGAAGAAAAAATCTGAGAAGAAAACTTTGATTTGATTGAGAGAAAGAAACAGTGTGTGTGTGTATGCGTGTGTGTGTGTGTCTGTTTGTGTGTGTGTGTCTGTTTGTGTGTGTGTGTGTGGGGGTATGTGTGTGTTTGTGTGTGTGTGTGTGTGTGTGTGTGTGTGTGTGTGTGTGTGTGTGTGTGTGTGTGTGTGTGTGTGTGTGTGTGAGACTCTAAATCTAGAAAAACCTAAAAAAAAAATCAAATAAAATATTTTTGAGAGGGAAGAAAACATGTTTGTGGGTGATTTAAAGGTCGAATTAGAATTAGAAACTTTTAGTTTTAAAAAACCTCTTTTATTGGAAAAATAACTGTTTATCAGGATGAAATTCGGTTTTACAGACAATTTTTTCATAATTTTATAATGTCATAATATAATTTCTTTTTGCTTTTTTCGGCTTAGAAAACCTCTAGTCAAAAAAATTTAATGCAATTGCACTAATGAACTGTTTACGTCATGAAAACTTTGAAGAGGAAATGCAAAAACTTAATGTTTTATAATACTCCATCAAACACTAGAAGTTCAAACATTCTTTACGGCTTTAAGAACAGAAAATGAAAAATCTTGGGAAGAGAAAAAACGAAAAATTTGAGAAGAGGAAATAAAAAAATCTCGAGAAAAATTTGAAAAGAAAACTTCGATTTGAAGAAAAAAAGAAGAAAATTTGAGAAGGAACTTTGAAGAGCAACCTAGAAAAATCTGAGAAAAGAAAAAACTTTGAAGAGGAAATGAGAAGAGGAAGAAGAAAACCTCTAGAAAAATCTGAGAAGAAAACTTTGAAGAGGAAATGCGAAGAGAAAAAACCTCTAGAAAAATCTGAGAAGAAAACTTTGAAGAGGAAATGCGAAGAGAAAAAACCTCTAGAAAAATCTGAGAAGAAAACTTTGAAGAGGAAATGCGAAGAGAAAACCTCTAGAAAAAGAGAAGAAAACTTTGAAGAGGAAAGAAGAGAAAACCTCTAAAAAAAATCTGAGAAGAAAAACTTTGAAGAGGAAATGAAAGAAAACCTCTAGAAAAATCTGAGAAGAAAACTTTGAAGAGGAAATGCGAAGAGAAAACCTCTAGAAAAATCTGAGAAGAAAACTTTGAAGAGGAAATGAAGAGAAACTCTAGAAAAATCTGAGAAGAAAACTTTGAAGAGGAAATGCGAAGAGAAAACCTCTAGAAAAATCTGAGAAGAAAACTTTGAAGAGGAAATGCGAAGAGAAAACCTCTAGAAAAATCTGAGAAGAAAACTTTGAAGAGGAAATGCGAAGAGAAAACCTCTAGAAAAATCTGAGAAGAAAACTTTGAAGAGGAAATGCGAAGAAAACCTCTAGAAAATCTGAGAAGAAAACTTTGAAGAAAAATGCGAAGAGAAAAAGAAAAAATCTGAGAAGAAAACTTTGAAGAGGAAATGCGAAGAGAAAACCTCTAGAAAAATCTGAGAAGAAAACTTTGAAGAGAAATGCGAAGAAACCTCTGAAAATCTGAGAAGAAAACTTTGAAGAAAAATGCAGAAGAAAACCTCTAGAAAATCTGAGAAGAAAACTTTGAAGAGGAAATGCGAAGAGAAAACCTCTAGAAAAATCTGAGAAGAAAACTTTGAAGAGAAAATGCGAAGAAAACCTCTAGAAAAATCTAGAAGAAAACTTTGAAGAGGAAATGCGAAGAAAAACCTCTAGAAAAAATCTGAGAAGAAAACTTTGAAGAGGAAATGCGAAGAGAAAACCTCTAGAAAAATCTGAGAAGAAAACTTTGAAGAGGAAATGCGAAGAGAAAACCTCTAGAAAAATCTGAGAAGAAAACTTTGAAGAGGAAATGCGAAGAGAAAACCTCTAGAAAAATCTGAGAAGAAAACTTTGAAGAGGAAATGCGAAGAAAACCTCTAGAAAAATCTGAGAAGAAAACTTTGAAGAGGAAATGCGAAGAGAAAACCTCTAGAAAAATCTGAGAAGAAAACTTTGAAGAGGAAATGCGAAGAGAAATTGAGAAGAGAAAATCTAGAAAAAAATTTAAATAGATCTTTGATAAGGAATTGTGCTGTGAAAATTATATGACATAAAACAACAATTTTCAATCCCTTCTCTTTAATTGATTTAAAAATTTCTAAACAAATCATTCCTTCTTGGACTAAGACCAGGAAAGCATGGTGATCTCGCCGAATAAGTATGTGTTCTTTGGTCACTGAAACGTAACAAAACATGTATAATTGGAATGAAGAATATTCCGTTTCCTGTTCATTGGAAGCAAACCGTTTGGCTACGGATAGAAAAATAAATTACACAAAATAGAAAGATGCAAAAAGAAAAAAAAAGCTGATGTTTTAAATTCTCCATGGAGTCCTGCTTTTAACTAATAAAACAAATTTTCGCTTTAAAATTTAATTTCTCGAAAATCATGAAATTAAATGAGGGTAACATGTAAAAAAGAAATTTTTACAAGATTTTCTAAAAAAAATTTCAAATATAATTTCATTTATTTGTGAATATGTCGTCAAAGTTTCATTAAAATCCGATAATTATTTAATTATTGCAAGAATTTACAAAATAATGTGTTTTTCGCCGTGAAGAATGCGGGGAAAAAAAAAACAATCGTAATTCTTAAGTAAACAAACGGAAACAAAACAAGATTTTTAAACAAAATTTCGAACGTACTAGAAGGGATTAAAAATTTCCAAAAATAATCAAAAAATAATTTGGTGTTTACCTTTAATAATAACATAAACATTTTAACGATAAAACTTTCTTTTTATTAAGTTTTGGGCCTTTTTCATCATGTTATTCTTGCTGGGGCTCGCGAAAATTAGAGGTATCTATTATACAGACATGCTGGGAATACCATGGACGGAGCATGTGAGCAACAAGGAAGTTTTAAGTAAACTGAAAACAAAAAAGTTAATTATACTTAGAATCAAAAAGAAGCAGCTGAAATTTCGGAGACACATGATGAAGAAAGAAGACTTGGAGAATTTGACAGCCACGGAATATTTCAAGAAGGCTAGAGAGGAAATAGCGAGTAACCTATCTAAAAGGGAGTGGCAAGAATAGTAAAAAGACAAACACTGTTTAGAGACACAAAGGAAACTAAAGAGAACCATGATAGCCAACTACTTGAAACGAAACGGCAGATAAAACAAAAGATGGACGTTTTCAAACTCAAGCTCCTTTCAAACCCTAAAGTTGTTAAAAGTAAACTTCCGTTATGACTGGTTATCGTTTAAAAGTTTGTAATTGATTATTCCTTGCATATCCCATCAGACACTCAGCAAGATCTTCTTTGGATGAAGGTTGCTTCTCGGCAGGAGTACAGGCTTATCATCGCGACTGATTTACTGACGACAGCGCTTAACATTATGAAAAAGGTTTCATTTATCATCCCAAGGAACAAAATGGCACCTGGAGCTGCCGAGAACGCAGTGACACACAACAATCAGCACGTTGCTAGCGATTTGAAAATAACAGGTCATGTGTGATTTATCTTTCAACATTTGACACTTTTCATAGCTTCAAATTGCGATGAACAGCTATATGGCAAAGTTCACTGACTGTAACAGCAGGCTTTGCTGCAACTGAAAAAAAAAAAAAAATGGAGGAAACTTTTATGACAGTTTATAAACTAATTATGACCAGTGTAGGCGGCACGTGACCGAGTGGTTAGAACATTGGCTTTGAGATCCTAGGGTCCGACTTTGAATCATATCATGTTCGTTTTTTCAAGGAGTTAACTTTTGCACATCGGCCTAAATTATAGCAGCAATATCAGTAAGGGTTTGAAAACTGTACCACACTTTTTGAGTATAATTGGATAGACGAAACTGTTTGGGAGCAGTTGGTAATAATGCTAGCAATAATTCACAAGTCATCGTGGCCTTGTTCAAATTGTTGATCACGTTAGATTATGCGCTTTTCCCAAGAAACTGTAACTATGGCCCACTCAGCATCCAGGGAGCAGCTAGTCACTCGAGTAGACGGGTATATGAGCGGCCGGCCATTGACAATCAACATACTGCTTGAGGTTTAATATAGGCGCAAAATTAAATATGACGTGGAAAGATAGTGTCACAAGCATCTATAAAACAAGAAAATGCCTTATTTACCTTATTCGGACTATTGTTCTCATCTTTGTTGCCATATTTATTACAACGTTTCGGCTGTTGTTCATGCAATGATAACAGCAAAAATTGCAATATGAGTACTGGTAAAAATGGTTGCCGCGCCAGGAAATTTTTCTCCCTGGAATCGATACTTCAAATATACAAATCAACCATTCGCCCTTGCATGGAGTATTGCTACCATATATGATCTGGTGCACCTTCTGTTTACCTCGGAGTTCTTGACAAGATCCAGAGGCGGATATGTAATATAATTGACCCTGATCTGGCATCTTGTCTATAGTTGCTCTCTCACAGACGCGCCGTCGCCTCTCTCTGTCTTTTTTACAAGTACTTTCATGGTAATTGCTCCGTTGAGCTGCTTTCACTGGTTCCCAGACTCCATGAATTCAAGCGCCCTACGAGGCTAGCCTCCCGCTCCCAACCTTACACTGTAGAAACTTTTAAATGTAGCCATCTCTTCTACTCCAATAGCTTCATACCTCGCACCTCTCGCCTGTGGAACACCCTTCCCTATTACTGTTTCCCTGAGAGCTATAATCTCCAACTATTGAAATGTAATGTCAATCGACACCTTCAGTTACCTTGATCTATCCACTATCCCTCTCCTCATCCTTTCTTCTATCACTCCTATCTGTTCTCGCTCCAAATCTTCTGCAACCCCCTGCATCCTAGTGGCTTCACGCCTTGCTCGGGGCGTAATGCTTAAAAAAAAGAAAAAAAAACTTTCGCATTCTGACCATGAGACCCTGGTTCGAATCTGACCATGGTCGATTTGTCAGGAAGGAGACTTCCTGAAGTTATCGGACTGGAGGGGTCGATGCCAGCGTACGGCACCTTTGAAAAGTGCCTGAAAACCATACAACGGGTTGACCCAAGCCTTGTGAGTGAAACTGTGTATTTGAAACCCTTGGGTGCCGTCGAAAGTTGTGCTAACACGAAGTCACAAGTCATTGTGGCCGAGGGTTTGAGCGCGCTGGCCTTGTCCAAATTGTTGATCCCGCTAGATCAGACGCCTTTTCCCAGAAATTGTAACTAAGGTTTGATCAGCATAGTTGCAGTATAAACCACAGGTGGGCTCTGTGGGTGTTGAACAAACACAAATGCGCCTGAGAAAGCGTCTGCAATAGTCGCCCTAGTAGACGTTTATCCTTGAATACGAGTGGCCAGCTATACATATACATAATAAGTGTTGGGTTAAGTGCATTAAGAAGGAAGATGATTATGTTTTAAAATAAACGCTTTTTTGTTTCTTGATTTTTCTTCATTTCTATTTGTTGCATTCCCTCAGGACGTGGGCGATTACGGCTCTCTACAATTTCCTTTGTAACTCTTAGCGATATTTGCCGTTTTACTAATCTTCCAACTCCATCAGTCTCGTAGGTTCTTCGCTGTTTTCCTCTATCCCAATTCTTCTGTCTTGTGAGTGTCAATTTTTCCAGGCACTCTTTTCTCATCATATTTCAGTGACATTTTAACTGTTCCTTTCTGATTCTAAGTATAAACGCCGTTTTGTTTCCATTTTCCATAAAATTTCCTCGTTTCGCATATGTCACGTCCATGCTTTTTCAGCATTCTTTTATAGAAACTATATATCTTGTCTGTCAAGTTTCTTCATTTTCGTCTGGCGATTGTCCAACATTCACTGCCATATAGGAGGACTGATAAAACATTACAGTTCAGCACTCATTTCTTTGTGTCTAACGAAATTTTCCTCTTTCTTAATATTTTGCTTAGCTTTTGGAAAGCACTTTTCGCTATTCGAGTGCGTCGAATAGCGAAAGCTGCTTTCGTATTTCGGTGTCACATAATTGCAATAAAACGACTGATTTTTTCCCCTACAATCTTAAATCTTTAAAAAATCGACATAAATTTTTGCTTTATTTCCACCAATGTAAACTATTCATATATGTGTGAGTTTGTGCGTGACTGTGTGTGTTCGTGTCTGTGTGCACGCGTGAATACGTAACTTTGCTCAAATTTGATCGCATTCAGCTGTTTTACATCAACATATGACATATTAATATAATCAACTGAAAAAGAACAAACAGAAAAAAATGAACGCCCTATTTACATACATTAATTCAATATGTTTTTCCAAGTGTAGAAAAAAAAAAGAATAACAATGTTATCGGTGAATACGGGTTTATGATGAAACGTGAGGTGTAACGTTGTGTGACTTGTCACAGGTTCAACTTTATTGTCTATAATACAATGATACTCCAGTATTGAAATTTATAGAATGTCACAGTGCATGAAATACTGCCAAGTGAAGCCGAAACGGTGTCAATGTGTCCACGCAATCAAAGACCTTAACAACAAAAAAAAAAAAACAACGTTTTTATGTACCAGTAATTTTATTAGTAAGAATTTAGAAAGCTTGTAAATCTGACTATGCCGGGTCAAACGTAGCAATCGAGTTACACATGAAGTTAAATAAAATGTGTTCATGTCGCAAAATACAGAAAGAGAGCGAGTTAGTTATTTCG